GTGTGTGTGTGTGTGTGTGTGTGTAAATGATTCAATGGCTACAAAGCAAATTAGTAACTTAATTTCTGGAGGAAGAAGGGAATGTGGGAGACTTTTTGTAATTCTTGAATTCTCTACAAATGCACATGTTCCCTATTGATTACAATTTCTGTACTAGACCTTTATAAATAGCACACTTTTACTCTATGGGTTATTTTTTACCTTACGGATTATTATTATTATTTTTTGCCAGTGGAAAAGTAATTTGAAATTACGGGTAGTTGCTGTAACGTAGTAGTCTTTAATCCTGGGGCATTTGCTCTTCAGGTACCTGGGCTATATAAATCTAGTTCTATGGACTCTCTCTCTACAACCAAGATCAAGCCTCTAGTGCCTGCCAAAGCCAGTGGACTGATCAAAAAGGCAGCAAGCATCCAGAGAAGAAATCATCATAATGCTGAGAACAAGCCAGGATTACAGATAAAAATCAGTGAGCTCTGGAAAAATTTTGGATTTAAAAAGTGAGTTGCTGCAGTTTTTTTCATCCCAAATTTTTAAAAGTTGCTTTTCTCTGATTTCAACACCTTTACCCTAATACTTTTCCTACTTTCTTATGAGTCCATTTCTGTTCCTTTTACTATTAGAGAATTATATTCCTCTAATATCATTCTTTGTGAGTATATGTAACTTGAGTTCCTATACTTTCTTCTAGTGAGAATCTGGCAAACTAGAAAAATCTTAGTTCTAAACCTAGCTATGGAATCTTTCTGTTGTTATATGGATTATTTCCCCAGCACCTAATTTTTTAGATTTCTCCTTTTATCATCTGTCAGGATTGTAAGAAGAATAAAGTTGTTCTAGGCAGGAGATGGGAGGTTAATATTATCATGCTTCTGAGTTTAAAGCTATTTCCCTAAGTTACTACATCGAAGATGGGGAAGTCTTTGGGTTTATATGATCAGTTTTCCAGTTTTTTTTGTGTATGGGGGTTGGGGTACCCAAAAAACCCCCAAAGAAACACAGAATTGTTTTTCAAAGCTATGTATTTAATTTTATTTTATTTTTTACAAAATAACCTTATCACCTTCAAAGGACTCTACATTACACTTAATATATTTGTCAAACCTGCAACTCCATTCTTGGAAACATTTTTCAAACTCATCTATTTGGATGGCTTGACAGAAAATTGCTGTCATTTCATGTCCCTCTTTATTCACGGAAACAAAAACGTTGCAGGAAGCTAGGTCAGGTGAGTAGGGTGCCGTGGGGCAAGAGATGCATGCTGTTTTTTGCCCAAAATTCACATATTGAGATGGCTGCGTGAGCAGGTGCATTGTCATGGTGGCAAAAGCAGTCCCCCATCTGCCACAAATGAGGTCTTTTTGTCACACACTGTTACACAATCTTTTCAAAAACTCTAAATTGAAAGCTTAATTAACCGTCTTACCTGGTGGAATGAACTCCAAATGTACTATCCCCCTCACATCAAAACAAATGAGCATTCTCTTGATCCTTGATTTCACTTTAATGACCTCTTTAGGGGCGAGGTGATGATGGTATTTTCCACTGGCTTGATTGATGTTTGCTTTCCGGCTAGAAGAATAGTCCCATGTGTTGTCACCAGTAATGACCTTGGGAAAGTCTGGCTCGCTTCGGAGCTGTTCTTTCAAAACACTGCATGTTTCTACTCTATGCTCTTTTTGCGAGGCACAAATTTTGCAGCAACCCTTCTCATTCCTAAATCTTCCACTAAAATTCACTGAAGTAGACCAGGTAACTTCCCCATCTCTTCAATGGTCGTCAGTTTTCAAACACAAGTGCATGAATATTTGTCAACATCTTCATCCATTTGGGAAGTTGATGGATGTCCGGAATGAGGTTTGTCATCAATGTTACACCTTTTTTGAAATGAGAAAACCACTCATACACTTGAGTTTTTTCCATAGTGCTGTCCTTGTAAACTGTGTTCAACATCACAACGGTTTCTGTGGCATTTTTCCTGAGCAGGAAACAGAATTTCACAACTACTTTATGTTCTCTTAAATCGGCCTTCCCAATAAACGAGGTTGGAGTAAAATTGCTTTCACAAAAATATTCACTGTGACCAGAGAAAACCTTCCCAGGTGACAGCACAGGGTGTGCTAACTCAGAGTGAGTTGGTTGATGCTTGCCTGGCTGGGAAAAAATACATACTATGAAAGCTCTGCCCAGCGGAGTTTTCTGTTGTTGCTTTAAAGGGATTGATCATCTCTTGCTTTGAGGGTGCCCAGCGAATAGTGGCCCTGGACGACCTTATATATACTATTTCAATGCCCTCTTGGCTTTCTTAAGGCATATTAGTCTTGTAAGCATGGTTCTGCCTTTGTGAATAAGTGTTATTAAAAGTTTGCCCTATTACATCGTTTGTGTAAATAGTGTCCAGTCACTTAAGAGTTTAATCTGTGCAAGGCAACAGTTCCTATATTGCTGTCTGAAACTGGCATAAACTTGTACCATTTCCTTTGCTCAACAAGGTTTTAGTTCTATACCATTGGCTAAATTAATGATACTACAAACAGAATTCCCTTATACCCAGGGGCATGATTTATAATGTTCTCTATCATAAAATGATAGTGATGTCTCAAAAGTGAACCAGAGACATATGTAAACCATTAGATATATGAATGGATTTGGGGCCCACACTTGATTATAGCCCCAAAATAAGAAAACTTAGTTCTTATGACCTGACTCTGCTTAATGCTTGCCCCCATGAAGACATCACTGAAGATGTGGGTGCTATAACAAAGTGTGGTGATGGAACTAAGTGGTACCCTGCTATCAGGAAGAATAGGGTCTAGGATGTTAAAGGCTTGTTTTCAAACAAATAGCCATTTAAATGAAGTATCAACCTGTGTTATCTAAACATTGTGAATAATAAAATCCAATTCAAAGGAGGAACAGTATCAAAGCTTAAATTGTGAACACCTGGTTTGCAGAAGGCTATGGATGACAGTGGAAGCCCAAAATCCATTTGCAGGGTCCCCACATGGATAAGGCTCTGGTGAATCCCCTCTGACCATGGTCCAGATATATGAATAGCCTTGCTATCAGATAACATTGTAAAGTCTATTATGGCAAATATAGTTAGGTTAAAATGTAATGCCTTATCTTTGATCTCCTTTTTGTCCCATTCTAAAGTTGTTTCAATTTTTAATATTTTCTCCCTTCTCCTGAATTGAGGCTTTTCTCCATTTTGCCTAGCCATTGTTGGTTTTTTTAAATTTGTTTGATTGTTGCTTCCTGTGTTTTGTGTGATTTCCCATATATGAAATTCAGGATAAGTGGGATCTATAGAGACAAACTGGATAGGGACCTAGTGGGGAGAATGGGGAGCTAACAAAGAGTATGAGAAGACACTGCTCCGGAATTGATTGTGGTGATAACACAAATCTTCTTGCAGTGGTTGAACAATTAATTGCACGATATGTGAAGTAGGTGCCAATAAAACTATTATAAAAAAGAATTGATCCTCCACGTCCTTCTGTTAGAATACAAATTTAACCACAGGAAAACAGTATGACATTTATGTTTGTCTATTCTTCAAATTGAAGCAAATGTGCTTAGAGTAAAATTTTAATTTGTTTTTTTTTAAAGTCACATGTAGTTAAACCCTACTTCATAGGAATATTGCCATGATCGTATGAGCGCTGTGTAAAGGGTAAGTGCTAGATGAATGTTCCCGTAATATGTGAAGTCTAGGATTATATCATGCACCCACAGTTCTTAAACTTTTGCTCGCAGAAAACCTTTACATGCCAGGGGTATGAACCATACATTGGTAACTGCTAATAGAAATTAAGAGTATAACGATATTCTTGAGTGACTTTTAGAAAATAAGACTTACTGATGTTGAGTTTTTGTTGATTGAACAAAAACAGTTACTTATCTATCTTAAGATTACGTTTTATAGACATATATCTTCCCTCTAACAAGATGAGTCAAGTTAAATATAGTATTTAAAAATTGATTCATGCTTCATGGGTTTTAGGCAAACCTCAGTAGGGCAGTAAGAATGATCTTTAAAATGCTTATTTGAGATATTTTACCTTGACTGATACATATCTAGTGTGTTAGGCTGGGTTGTCTAGAGAAATGAAACCAGTGATATGCATATGTGTATAAGAAAGAACTTTATATCAAGAGTGATTTTATATCAAGGTATGGCCGCTTAGTCCAGCTCAAGTACGTGGGTCTAATGCTAGCCAGAGCCCTCCTCAGACTTACGTAGCTATGAACTGATGATGCAGAAATGGAAAGCGGGAGACAGGGAGATCACAGGCTGGTGGGTGCTAAGTTGGATCCAACGTTGGTGGAATGTGACAGGGTACCAACAGCTCTTCAGAATGGCAGCCACTTTGGGGCTCTGCCTAGTGGCAGACATAGAGTCCCAGTGAGGAGAAAGGCTATGAGCGAGAGAGAAATTCTCACTGTCTCTCATATAAAAAGGTTACACTCCCAAAGAGGGATCACTAGGCTACCAGGTGGATGCCACCCCTATTTCCACAGAGGTACCATCAAGTTGAAGTAGAACAGTGGTTCTCAACCTGTGGGTCATGACCCCTTTGAGGGTCGAACAGCCCTTTCACAGGGTTCACCGAAAACTATTGGAAAACACATATTTCCGATAGTCTTAGGAACCAAGACACCGCTCCTCTATTCTCTCCAGGCGGGTCCACCCACATGCACATAAGCATACATAAGAGTACCCAGTGTGAAGACTGTTACCCATGCTACACCATGCTTCAAGACAAAATTTAATTTATTTGTAATTAGAAATAAACACAATATATAATTGCATATTGTTTTTGTGATTAATCACTAAGCTTTAATTATGTTCAATTTGTAACCATGAAAATATATCTTGCATATCAGATTCATAACAATAGCAAATCATAACATTATGATTCATAGCAGTAGTAAAATTATAGTTATGAAATAGCAACGAAAATACCTTTATGGTTAGGGGTCAGCACTTGAGGACCTGTATTAAAGGATAGCAGGATTAGGAAGGTTGAGAACCACTGACATAGATTCTAAACATCCTATCTGGTAATGGTTTAGCATCTACATGAAAAATGATTTTGAAAGCAGAGAAGGATACTAAGAAGCAAAACATTGGGTATATTCCAAAAAGTGTGTTTTTTAATTATTACAGTATACAGTGAAGTAGGAGTCCTTGGTGATACTGGGGGTTAAACTTTAGACTGCTAACTTAAAACTAACTGCTATACTGGAGACCGATGAGGTCTGTTTTTATAAAGATTTACAGTCTCAGAAAACCTATAGAGCAGTTCTACTCTGCCATGAGTTGCAATAGGGTTGGGTTTGGTGTGTAGTAGAAAGTACTATTCTCGTAATAGACCTCTATTTGTCCACGTAGGTAATCTCTTCTCTAATAAGTGGTACCTGAAACACCAATGTTTTCCTCTTACATTTTGCAGAGATTCCGAAAAGCTTCATTCTTGTAAGACGCTAGATCCTCTCTCTCCAGTGAGAGACAACATCCAACTAACTCCATAAGCAGAAGAGAAGATATATAGCAAACTTGAACATACTTGTTCATGAACAATAATTGGAATATTGGAGCAATATTCCAATAAATGGAGCCTGCTGGGAAGCTGCTGCCTACAGGAGAAGATCAATTTGAAGTCCCTATATCCGAATGAGACCTAAGAGATTTGTGTTAGATCATCTTTTAAATAGAGTGCAGGTTGCATATTGGCTATTTAATTGTTTCTTGTGCTCAGCTTTTTACCTTTCCATAAACTAAACATAAGAATCATTTTTATTTCACTGTTTTTTGGAAGTTTTACTGTTGGTTGTATAAGTCCCCTGAAATGCATAAACGTTTACTCCAACATTATGTAAATCTTGTCAAGTATAAGGATATGTGATAAATAAACAAAATTCAATTGTAGTTACTTTATTCCAGAGAAAAACCACGACACTTTTTTCGGGCTTTAACATTTTTCCTACTTGCATGTCCTATCTATCTTGTAGGTTGAGTTGGAAATAAAGTTATGGTCTAGAGGATCGATCATAGGCTGGCAGGTTGAGAAACATTACATAAGAGGGATTCCTAAAATTATCCCTTAAGTTTGGTTGGGTTACAGGTTGATAATGGGGGGAAACTGCTTTAGCCTAATATTAAGTGAGTTACTGCTTATGCCATTATTTAGCCTTAACATTCATAAATTGCCTTAGTATATCTGAATATATCTTGAAGTTGGGCTAAAACTAAGTTCTCTAAAAGCCAAATAAAACATTAAAAACATCAGAAGCAACTAGAAAAGCCAACAGCCACTAGAACAGACTGTAAGTCAGGCTCTCTCTGTTTAGATGTAATGTAGTCCTTCACTCAGAGGACAGTGCCTTTTGGAGCAGTCACACTGCCACCCACAGGGTCTTTGCAATTGGCAGATGTTAGGAAAGAACCACTTAAGTGAAATGTGAGTACAGAAATATAAAGATCTTTATATTAAAAGGATAAAGGAATAGGACCCAGAGTATTGTAATTTTTTAAAGGCTTAGTAGTTGACGCTTGGGTAAATGGATCTGAATGGAAAAAGAAGTCAACATTTACAAATTAAATAAGTCAAATTAGTGAAGACCAAAAGTGGATACTTCAAATGATTTTTTTTCTTTTTTAAAGTAAGTTTTTGGTTTTTTAAAGGTAATTTTATTGTGGGTGCATAAGCAAATGTGGTGAAGAAAGGTGATGGTGCCCGGCTCTCAAAAGGTATAGTGTCTGGGGTCTTAAAGGCTTGAAGATAAACAAGCAGCCATCTGGCTGAGAAGCAACAAAGCACACTAGCCTGTGTGATCATGAAATGTCGATGGAATCATGAAGTGTCAATGTATCAGGCATCTAAGACCCAGAATAAAACCATACCCAAGGTGAATGGAGTGGAGACCCAATGCCCATGTGTAGACAATTGGACATCCCCCACAAAGGGGTCACAGGGGAGAGATGAGCCAGTCAGGGTGCAATATAACACTAATGAAACACAACTTTCCTGTAGTCCTTTGATGCTTCCTTCCCCCCACTATCATGACCTCAATTCTACATTAGAAATTGGATTAGACAAGAACATGCACACTGCTACAGATAAGAGCCTGCAACACAGGGAATCGAGGGTAGATAAAGCCCTCAGGGCTAACAAGGAGAATAGAGATACGAGAAGGATTAGGGGAGGGTGGTGGGAGAAAAAGCGAACCAGTCACAAGGATCAACCTAGAACCCCCTCTCGGGACAAATAACAGAAAAGTGGGTGAGGGATGTTGGAGGACTGTAATATATGGAAAAAATAATCTATAACATCAAGGGTTCATGAGGGTGGGAGGGAGAAGAATTGGGAGCAGATATCAGGGTCTCAAGTGGGAAAAGAATGCTTTGAAAATGATGCTGGCAAATGTGCTTGACACATGTATGAATTGTGATAAGAGATGCAAGCCCCCAATAAAAATATTTACAAGAAAAAATTTTATTGGGGGCTCTTACAACTCTTGTTATAATCCATACATCAATTGTATCAGACATATTTCTACTGAAATGATTTTATTAAAATTTATTCGTTTCTTGGGACTGTCAAAACAGTACCAAAAATTGGTTGGTTTAACAACAACTTAATATCACTAGCCAAAAAAAGGCAAAGGGCCAACAGGGAAGACTCAATTGCTCATCTGTAAGTTCAGTTTGAAGAAAACTTAAAAGTCCAGGAGAGCCAAATTACTGCCTTGAATATGTCACCCTGAATTTCAAAAATAAATATGACACCTTGAACTTTAATGAAAGAAGACCTAATGAGTTGTGGGACGACCTCCAGAATCTCCATGAGGAAATCAAAAGGTCATTAAAAAGACAGCAAAGAGAAGATCAAAATGGATGTCAGAAAAGATGTTCTATGGTCTTGAGTTCCTAAAGCAAATGGAAATGATGCAGTAAAAGATTTGAGCAAAATTTCCAAGGCAGTGTGTGAAGACAATGTACTGCAATGAGTTAGTAAGCACAGGAGGACTTCCTCAATAACAATAAGCCTAAACTCCCTGGAAACCAGAACAAAGCTAAATGGACCCGGTCTCTAATTCCGTCTGGCAAGGGGTGAAGCACTAGAGAAAGAAGCCCAGCCTTACACCTTGAGTTCAGTAACTTCTGCTGGCTGATACAGCCTGTGTGTGTGTGTTTCCCTCCAGGAGCTGCCACCACTCCTGTTTATCCCCTTAGCCAATGACCAATGGCTAGTCGGCTGCGGTGCACTCCCTCCTTACCCCTGTGCACGTGCACCATGATTCCCCACTGATTCCTATTGCACAACTCTGCTCCCAGTTGCAGCTCAGACCTCTACAGCCACAAACTGCTGGGCACAGAGGGCCTCACTACCTGGTTAATGCATAGTCCCTGCCCTCATTGCCACCTCCCTGCCAGTAGCCCCTCCTTCAACACCCGACCATAGGCATGAGCCTATGGTGATAGTCCCTCGCACCTGACCACAGACATGAGCCTGAGGCCCCCCTCCTGCTGCTGATGTGCTATAGGAAACATTGCCCCTGCCACACATGTACAATTCATGCCTTCACCACAACAGCTGCCACTGTCCCAACCTCAACTGACTTAATAGTTTCATGTGGTGCAAAGAGCGAGCACAAGACGACTATTGATACTTTTCAATATGGGCATGTAGTCAGAGCTGCTCTTGATCCCTTTCCCCAAAAAACTGGAGATTACAGAAATCCTGATTTCCAGATGTCCCTGTAAGAAACAGAAACATTTGCTGACAGCTCTGCAGTACCTTAGGGGAAGGAACTACTAAACAAAAGTGGGAGAGTTGTGGATTCTGTGCCACCCAGCAGGATGCCTAAAGTATGGCCACTTTGGTCCACAGTGGTGAGCTGACAGCCCTCTCCCTCTCACCCACTGCTAATTAGCACTGTTTCTCGAACATTACTTGGGAGTGGTTGGGTTGGAACTTGGCCAGGAGGATTCACAGGGTTCTGAGCCCTGGGACTGGGAGGGTCCTGACTCTCGTTGCCTGCAGCATGGATAGGGGAAATCAGTCAGTTGTGGACTGGCTCCCAGCATTTGGATGGAGCTCTTGAGGGTTAGATTGTGGCAGAGCTTCCCTGCAGCACCAGGAAGACCGACAGTGTTATTGGTTATTATTTTTGTCATCATGAACAGACTTCTAACAAAAGAAGAAATAGAGAAAGTCATCATGAAATTTCCAACCAAGAAAAGCCCATGACCAGATAGCTTCACAAGGGAATTCTACCAAATAGTCAGGGAAGAGCTGTCACCAATTCTAAAATAACTGTCACTATTTTAGAATACAGAAAAGGAACAACAAACTAAACTCAATCCATAAAGCGAGTATAACCCCGATATCAAACCCAAGCAAAGGTGCCACAAATACAGAAAACTACAGATCAATATCATTCATGAACATAGATGTAAAAATTATCATAACTGACCAATAAAATCCAACAACACATCAAAAAAAATTATTAATCATGAGTAAGTGGGATTCACACCAGGGATGCACATGTGTCTCAACATTAGAAAAGCAATCAATGTAATCCACCATGTAAATAAGATTAATAGCTCATGATAAATCTATTGATGCCCAATAAGCATCTGACAACACTCTAACAGAAACACTTGATAAGAATAGAAGGAA